AGAAATGACCTGCAGCTTTGAAACTGAGGGGAAATATGCTCTTCATCCTGTTTTTGCTCCTGCATCTGGAATTTTAAAATAAGTTAAGCAGGCAAAAAAAAGAAAAAAAAGAAAAAAAAGAAGAAAAAAAAAGAGGGACCACTGGGGAGCAGTTTAGTAACTTTAAAACCTGTTTATTTTTGCAAGCTGGCTTTTGGACCCATTCTTCTGATAGTACTGAAGCACCATTTAAGCTCTGGTGTGGCAATTAAGTATGTGCCAAACCTCAGTGACTTGTTTACTGCAGTTGAACTGCATTTATTTAGTTGTACTCTGACTAGAAAGCTTGGTAGTGAAGCTTGCAGCTACTGTGCTTGCTAATAGAGCAGTAACTGAATTTTATGAGCTCCATTGAGTAGGGTACTTCTGGATGGTGGACTGGATGGACTGTTAGTGGTTGTGTGTTCAGAAAGAATCTTACATCTATGTCTTCTTCCTGATGAAGCTTTGGCTTTTGCTCTGCTTTGTTCCTGCTGGTTTCTTTGGTGTAGCAAAATGCAATTCAGTTTAGGGACAGAATTGGTGCAATTCTTGTGAAATTATTTTTAGGTGTTAATCTCTTCTCCCCCGCTGCCCCCCTTCCTGTTTTCCCTTGAAAGCCTGGAGTTAAAGGTTAAAACCCAGTAAGGGAGAAGACACTTAAGCATCTCTGAAGAACTGAATAAAGTAACCCAAGAGTTTGTCCTGGGTCTGGTTGGTTTTTGCAGTTTGGTGCTTCTCTAGTGCTGATTTTTTTTGTGGGGTTTGGTTTGGTTTGTTTGTTTGTTTAAGACTATTGACTTGTGATAGCTACTCAGCAGTGACTTTTGCTCACAATGGCTTTTTTTTTATTATTATTTTATTAGCTCTTTAGGAATTGATGTTTTCATTTTCTTTTATAGCCTCAGTGCTGTTACTTTTTTATTGACCTGTTGCAATACAGGTGGAATACAAAACTCCTGGGATGTCAAATCTCAGTCCTAAAAACAAGGTCAATCTAAAATGTACTAAGATACCAAATACTGGTTTTGATAGTTTTAGCTCCTTACAGTTATTATGGTATGCCCTGGCCCAGAGACATTTAAAACTGTGTAATTTACATTTAAAACCACCACCTCCAACAACAGAATAAACCAAACAAAAAACTACCCAAATAGGTGCATTATTATTCAGTATATATCTTTTCAACAGGCTTCCAAAGCAGGGAGCGTTTAATAGCACAGGTAGTACTGGGCTGAGATTCTTTGCATATTCTACTGAATTTTCCTGAAACCTTATCTGGGCTGAATATCCAACTTTTTAATAGTGAAATGAAAATGATAGGGATTGTTAATGTACTGGACATCAGCAAATAAGGTTATATTTGAAAAGCAAAAAAAATCAATCCTGAACCATTAGCTATCTCAGAAACATTGATGATGTCTAGACCGTTTCAAAGTGCTTGGTTTTTGTTGAGGTCAACGAGAAATGTGGACTATTGAGCATGTTTAAAGAAAAAGACATTTTATTTTTTCTTCTGCAGAAATAGTGTGTCAGTTACCACTCCAGGCTCCTGAGTTAGGCAATCTTAACAGCTTTAAACTCTATTAATTAAGGTTAATTTAAATCAGATTGATTTAAATCAGTTCATCCCATATAAACTTTTATAGTGTGCAGGCTGATTTTTTTTTCTCTGAGAAGCCACTTAGAGCTTTTTGCCATGTCCTTCCCCTGCCAATAAAGCCCCAACAAAAAAATAACTGCTGTTTGTGTAAGAATTGATCCTGTGTCCTGGGGGCATTTGGAAGATGCAAAGTGTAAGACATAATGGCTGTTACTGGACATTACTACAATACTTAATTTCTCCACTGTTTTTCCTGTATGGCTCTTTCTCTATGAACCTGGCTAATGCAAGCGGATTTCAGTAGTGTTGACAGAAGACTCATTTTCTCAAACAGATAACTAATCACATCAAGGAAGCTTCCCCCCTCCCTCAAATTTTTATCTTGTGGTGTTACTGTTCCAGTTAAGTTTGCAGTGCTGCTTTAGCTAAGCTTGTGCCATTCTTTTCGTAATAACCATGGATTTTTTTTTTTCTCTAGGATTTGTAACTTGCCCAGGAAGTTTCTGTCTTAGGCTGAATCTCAATGTATGGTGTCTCAGCCAGGACGCTTTTTGTACTTAATTTGGTTTGAACTAGCTTTGTTACTCAAAATAGAGGAGGGTAAAAAAAAAAAGGAAAGCTTGACACTTTGTGTACTCTTGAAAATCCCACACAGGCGTGGATTTAAAACATGACATTTTATGGCCTGTTACAGTCTGATGTCCAATGCTTTGTTGTGCCTTGTGTTGACCAAAAAGTGTCAGAACAGCCTAGATGGGAGAAGAGGGATGAAAAGGACTGTCCTGGCTAATTGTAGAGTCCAAGGCCTAATTTGTGACTTATCTACGGGCAGTTGGAGATTAATGCCTCTTTCTCTGGGGAAGTTTCATGGGTGGCTTCAGCTGTGTGGCTGCTTCCTTTATTTGTTCCTTCTGTTTAAGCACCACTGCTGTGGGACCATTGGTCAGATCATTTGCTAAGGTAACTGAAAGTTTTTTGTTTCTTTTCCTCATAGGGTGCTAATGTCAGCACCAGGGTAGGAACTGGGGAAGGAACCCCTCCATTTGGCAGCAGCATGGGTTTAAGTAGACCAGAGACTCCCACTGCTGCTGCAGGAACAGCTGATCTCTTCTTACAATGTATATCCAAACTCCCAGTTCAGGGTCTTGATGTGTTAAGAGATCCCCAAACCAGAGCTGATTTCCTATAATTCATGGCAATTCAGCACCTGCTACCTGCTGAAAGGGTGGAAACCTGTTGGAAAAGGGGAGGAGGTTAAATGGAGAAAAGAATTGCTTTTGCCATTCCATTGCTAGGCATGCTTTCCTATTAGGGATCATGAGGGTGCTTTGTAGCGTGAGGGGAATGAAACCATTACTTCAGTAGGTGCTTGATTACTGCAGAGTCTCGAAAGTTCACCAGGAAGATCATCTTTATGATACTTACAGGATTGCAGAGACATCCTACAATCAGGATGAGGTGGTGACAGGGTAATAATAGTAGTCTTTTATATGTTGTGTTAAAAAAGTCCAGCTGGGAGAGAAGTGCTTTGAAAGACCACTACTTGCATTCAGATTGTTCTACCTGTTGTCTAAGTGCATCTTCATCCTGATAGCCTTCCTTTGCGGTACAGTTACTTTGCTAATACTGTGTAGTTTTAGAACTTTGAATGACACAGGCATTGATGAGGATTGAGCTTGGTACCTGTTAACCAGCTAAAACGTAGGGATGTCATTTTCCTGTGGCAAATTAATGCGTGAAGTTGAAAGTACTACTTTTGTCTAGCAGTCTCTGTGTGGCCAATGGTAAACACATCACCTGTGAAATTAGGCAACAGTTTTTTTGAGGAGGACAGCCTCTTGAGCTGGAGGTTGTTTAATATCATAGAAAAGCCATGAGGGCCCTTTGTCATACAGACTTTTTTCCCCCTTCATTTGAATGCATTGAGCTTCAGGGCAGGCTGCAATTTTAATGGGAGGCTTGAGGAGAGGAATTTTGCTCGAGGGTAATTTTGGGGATATTTTTTCATCCTTTTTATTTTAACCTGCTTTTAAGGTTTAGTTGGACTTAACTAGTTTTGTCTCCTTTGTTTTTACTTTTAAGTAACTGTCATCGGATTTCTGATTTTGGTCTAAGCTTTTTAGTCTGCATTTATACATTTCAGTATATGAGTAAGTGTGGAACTGTCCTAGCCATATGATACAGGCCAAAGTCACCTTTAATAGCCAGGTTTTTCTTAATTCAACAGTGCATCTTTTGTCCGTCTTCATTCCTGTAGAGGTGGCTCAAGGTGTCCTTTGAATACTTCAGGCTAGTGCAGGTGAGCTGGATCAGAGCACTGAATTGACCTGACCAAAAATGAGTATTTGGCTGGATCAGTTTCACAGTCTGATTCACCAGCTGATTGTGCAGACAGTTTCTTTTATGTCTGCTTTTCTCTGGCTTCCGTTGTTTGTCAATAGTTGCTTCCCCCCACAGTTTGAGCTGCCACAAATTACAGCCTGACTTGTTAAGGAAAACCAAAATGAATGGCAATTTGCATTCATTGGGAAAGCAGTATCATTTCTCTGACTGGCCTGAGGTAGCTGTGCAAGGGATCAGCTGTGTTGTATTTGCACCCCTGGCATGCTGAATTTGCAACCTGGATATAGTACACGGGGTAATATTTACCAGCTGGGAACTGACTGTCCTCTTCTGATCAGAAAATTTTTCTCCTAACTGTACAGTTTCAACTTTTCATGCAGACGTTGTGTGACTTGCCACATTTTGATCTGGCCCTTTCCAATTGATAAGTGCTGTTAATGTCTCTTTTCAGGCTACTTAAATTGCCTGTAGGTGGAGTGACAGGGAAATTGGGACATGGACAGGAAGGGGAAAAAAAGCACCCAAATATTTAATCTAATGTCATTTTAAGTCTGCACGGATTCATCATGTGTTTATTGACAGAAACAAATTTGAGGGCACTTGATTTTATACTTTTCTGTGTACAGACTTGCAAAAGGAAGTTCAGCTGTGGTCATTGCCTGCTTGGATAGATAATTAGTTGCTTCAGAATGCGATTTAGGATATTAACTGGCCATGCAAGGATGACAGTTGTGTATACTTATGACAATCAGGTGCTGCCGAACATTGAAAGAGAATGGTATTATGCAGAGGCAATGCTTGTGAGAGATGCTCTCATAAAGGAACTCTTTTTGTACTCTCTGGAACTGTGGTTTGATTTACATTAATAAGTATGTTAATAAGTATTTTAAAGTTTTGGGGATATACATTTCTGTATATACACCACACAATATATGTACACTTACAGCCTTGCAAAGAGCTGCTAGTCCTTCTGTTCCTAAAGCTAACTAGCATGTATCGTGACTTAATTTGTGTGCAACTCTGCTTTCTTTTTCAGATACATGTATTGGACTGACTGGGGTGAAACACCCAGAATAGAACGGGCAGGAATGGACAGCAGCACACGAAAAATAATTGTCGATTCAGATATTTATTGGCCAAACGGACTCACAATAGATCTTGATGAGCAGAAACTTTACTGGGCTGATGCAAAACTGAGTTTCATTCATAGGGCAAATCTGGATGGTTCCTTTAGGTAAGTTTCCTTTAGGCAATAATATGGTGTAAGTTATTTCTCACTTCCTGCATTAATTTTGAACTGAGGTATTTCTTTTCAGTAGTCTAGAATAATGCCAATACCTTATTTTTCTTTTTAAATGCAATTGTTAATAGCCTTGCAAAAAGTAAAATAGCCTCGTATCCGATAAAACTGGTTTTAAAAGTAAGAGTATTTCTATCAGTATTTCACTATAGACTGTTTATAGCTGCCTTGTACAGAAGGATTTTTCATTTTTAGGCTTATATTTGTCTTGAAAATAGTTGGAGATGCTCATCCTTGGCTCTAGGCAATCTAACATTTAGCTAGTCACTGGGGTTTTACAGTACTGTTACTGTATTTTTTTTTCAACAGGAAATATACGTTGATACACACTTGTCCCTGGCCCCATCCAAAGATGTGCTTTGTGGCATGACTATAAATTAACCAAATTCAGCTTACTTCAGACTGCAAGTGTGCAGGAAACAGATTTTCCTAAAGCTTGGTAGAAAGCACAGTATGGAAGTTTTGGTTGGTGGCTCCCACCCAAGCGTGCTGTTGAGTTTTGGCTTTTGTAGTTACAGAGAGGTGACCTTTCAGACAGGGAAGACCTACACATTTGAGATTGAACCTTCAATTCTGTGAGTGTTCAATGGGCAGGTTGTGTTGGTCCTGAAGGGTGAGTGTCATCTGCCAGTGAAATCTCCTGCCAACAAGGCGTGTCTCTGCATTCTGGTCTGGCTTTGGTCTTCAGATAGTGTAAAATGACATTTTCATTTTCATTATTTCATTTTTAATGTCTGTGATATGAAATGATTGTGCTTTGATAAAAAGTTGGAGTTTTATTTTATGCATATCTGTGTAATAGAATAATATACCTCCCCCTAAAAAACCACTGCATTTTCCAAGGTGTTTTTCAATTTTTTCACTGAGGTGCATTCTGTGCATGATTTTCACAGTCATAAAAGAGGAACAGCAATATTGACATCCTTTATGAAACGCTCTTAAGTTCCTTTGAGAGCACTATGCAAGAGCTAGATAATGGTGGCATTGTAGTAAGTGACAAGTACTGACTGATAGTCAGAAGTATAATACAAGGGAAAACGCCTTTACAGAAGGGAGTGTTAGCTCAAAGATTGGGTGCAGGTTCATAGAGAGAAAGAAAATGCTCTTTCAAAATTCAAAATCTAAGAGAAATTTTCATACAGTACAACATGAATATATTTTTTTGATTTGGGGGTGAGTGGCAGAGGGCAAGGTTTCCAGGCTGATTCTGCAATTATCATGCACATACAAATTATATAAACTTTACTTGTATGTATGTGTAAAAACTTAAAGTTGTAATTTGTAGGTAAAATTTATTTTGCTTATTTTAAGTTAGAGACAGGCCACCTGAAAGGGAGCAAGCCTTTGAATACACAAATTGTAGCAATCTGTCCAAATTACTTTGTGATAACTAGTGCGTGTCTACCACCTCCCAAGCAGTTTTCTATTGAACCATAAATGAAACAGTATTTTAGGAAAAATTAATGTATTTTGCTTTTAAAAAAAAAAATAGCTTACTGGTGTACAGTTCTTACATATTTTACTCAATTGCTGGAGGGTGTAAATGCACACTTGATGTCAGGATATTCCTATGCAGGATGCATTCTGGAAATTCCTTGTGTCTAACTGTACATGGACTTGTAGGCGTTGTCCGAAATAATAGCTTGAAGTCATTTAGTTGTGTATATTGTTACCATATGGTAAAACTTCCTTCTTCAAATGTTATGCATATTAATAAAGTGTCACAGATATTGATCTTAATTTTAACTCTTTTAAAATTAAATTTTTATTTATTCTTTTTTCCCTTCCACTGATCAATGTTGAAACAGAAGTCTGTGAAGTTTGGACTCTTAGGTTCTGGTTTCAAACTAGACTTTACTGCAAACTAGATGATAACTTCAGAGGTTGCTTCTGTTCCTTAAACAAAGAGCAAAATAAGTTTTACCCAGAGTCGTCAATAAAGAAATATTATGGTGTTTCAAATGGTTCTATGCCTCCCATCCCAGAATCACTTCAGAATTCAAATAAAAAGGAAATTTGCATTCTGCATGGTGGATTAATGTTACTGGAGTAATCTGCCTATTACTTACATCTTAGCAAGCTTCAATTTGTAAGCACATAGCTGGAACTGTTTCAAGGGATGTAATTACAGGAGAAGAGGAGACTTGATATCTAAGAATGGTACAAATAGGGGCAATTTATAGTGGAAACCAGCTGCTATGATACTAGAATACAGCCACTGCTGTTACTAGTAAAGAAGCAACAGCAAATGTGAGAGTGGAAAGAGAAAGTGAAATCAGTATTTCTATTTATTCTGTTGTGTTTTCTGGTGAGAGAAGTAGTGATAATTTGAAGGACAGAAATTTTAGAGCAGTTTCAATTTTATCTCTAGAACAGGAAGAAGAATAATAATTTTGTTTTCTTTTTTCCACATTGCCTGCTTTGTACATTGCCGTGGTTTAGCCCTAGCTGGCACCTAAGCACCATGTGACTGGTCACTCACTCCCCCTGCCCGCTGGTGGGATGGGGAGGAGAATCAGAAGAAAAAGATAAAACTCATGGGTTGTGATAAGGACAGTTTACTGGGACAGCAAAGGAATAGGAAAATAACAACAATACTAATAAAAGAATACACGAAGTAAGTGATACACAGTGCAATTTGCTTACTGCCTCAAAACTTGATGCCCAGCCTGTCCCAGAGCAGCAACTCCTCCCCAGCCAGCCCCCTTTATATACTGAGCATGATGTCATATGGTATGGAATACCCCTTTGGCTAGTTTGGGTCACCTGTCCTGGCTGTGTCCCCTCCCAGCTTCTTGTGAAAATTAACTCTATCCTGGCCGAAAACTAGGATATACATGTATATGCAAATACTTTTTTACATGTGTCAGTGTGCTTTAAATTTGTCCATGTCTGAATACATATGAAGAATTTTGGGGGTACTTTTTGTATTCCCCCCAGCCCTGGAAAATGCAAATGTTACCTGTGCTACTCAGAATGAAACAGGATCCTTCCCCTGCCAAATGTTAGCTGGTTTTTGTTTTTTTCTTTAATCTCTTCAATGGAAACAATTTAAATGCAGATTTGAATATAGGTGTAAGAAAAATATGTTCCTCGCTTTTCTTCAGGATGATGCTGAGACATCAGCTTTCTCAAAGTTGTATGATGAAAAAGTTTGAATACTGGTTTGCTGTGTCAGAACACTGGTTTGGAAGGTGTGTGTATGGTATGCCGTTATGTTTATGCATACATAAAATCCGTGAATTTTGTGAAAACTGAGCTCATATTGTTTTGACTGAGGAGTTGTCGACTATGTTTTTACTGACTTAGTAAATGTCTCCAGAACTACTGAATCTAAATTATACAAATTTATTGCAATACATATAAATTTTTGAATCCTATGAGTGTAGAAAACATGTTGGAAATGTCATGTGTTTTGTGGCTTTCAGTTCAGCTAATAACCAATGTGATAATATATGCAGCCTCAGAAGAGATGTGGCTGAATGAGGTCATTGAAAAACATCTGAAATGTTTCTAATTTATATTAATTATAAATATTTACTTTTAGAAAAAATATAACTGACCCTTGCTCTACATTTAGAAAGATAATGTGAAAAACATTTGGTTTTGCTGCTGACCAAGTTAAGAGGGGTAATTTAAAGAGACCCTCAGGTCGTTTCTTCCTTTCCTGCTACAAGAAAGGACTGAGTACAAATGAAGTCCTGGGCAAAGATGTCATACATTGCATAGGGAGACAAAAAAAGTTATGCTTTAATTGGAGGAGCACTCTTCGGACCTGTGTTTCCCCCAAAAGACAATTGTGTTTGGCTATTTGCACAGCCCTGTTAAGTAACTTTGGTGCGGCCTTTCAGTGGTCAGTGTAGAGCTGAATCAGATTCCATGTCTCTATGAAATCCAGTATATTTGTGTCCTTATTGCTATGAAGAGGCAAAGTCTTGTTTTACATTTTTCAGTCTGATTATCACATTTATCATTAGGTGAATCTCTTGGTCCAGTGAATTTGTTAAATGATGTTTCCTGTATGAATTTTTACAAAGCCAGATTTTTTTACTGTGTGGTAACAAGTGGAAGCAATGCATTTTTAATCCTTGCTCTTTCTTTCATCTAGGCAAAAAGTTGTTGAAGGTAGTCTCACTCATCCCTTTGCACTGACGTTGTCTGGGGATACTTTGTATTGGACGGACTGGCAAACACGCTCCATTCATGCCTGTAACAAAAGGACAGGAGAGAAAAGGAGAGAAATATTGTCTGCCCTATATTCGCCGATGGACATCCAGGTCTTAAGTCCAGACCGGCAGCCATACTGTATGTTTTACTTTTCCCTGAAACTTTTTGCTTAGCTGTTACTTATCTACCAAGAAAAATGTTAATCATAAAAATGGTTAGTGTGAAGTTGTAAGGTTTTGAACACTTGTCAGAGGATTGGTTGCTAAAGGTATCCTGTACCTTTCTTTGAAAATTCCAGCCTGAATTGGTATGAGCTCACTAGTCATCCCAGTTGGGAACAAAATCCAGTGCAGTACTTCAGTGACATCTTTTGATTTGGAATATCTGAATGAGAATGATCAAGACTCACCTGGCGTCTTTTTAACACCATTATTTTGAAGACAACTGGAAAAAAAGCTTATAATTACCTTTTTTTTTAACAAGTACAATTACCACGAAATATGTAATGTTCATGTTGTACTTATAAGTGCACATTTTGCCGTCCAGACTTGATCATGTTTATCTTCAATATGTAACAAATAGTTTATAAATGTTTCAGTATAGAAGGGATTTAGTTCTGAGCTTTTATATGAAACATCTATGTGCCTCTATTTTTTCTTTATGTATGATGCTACTTCAAAGGAAGGCAGGTGTAGAGAATTGAGAACTGAGTGAGGCTGTGTATATTTTGTATATGTATGCAATTCCATGTGATGGTTGGTCTAGGGTTTTTTTTTAGGATTGCGAGAATGGGACTTAAAAGCAATGGTGTGGAAATATATATAATTGGGTAGCTATTGGAAGAATCATCCCTTTCCTAAGGGTCATACTCTTGCCATTTGGATTGGCTTCTTTATTTATGCCAACTGTAAAGTCTGCTTCTCTAAAGATAATGTTTTTTATTCCAGTAAAGTTTATCGCATGTCAGTAAACAGGCTTGAAAGTAAGCAGAAGGAGTTTGGAGATCATCTTGATGATGGAATATGTGCAAGTTTTCATTGAGGATGTTGGGTATGCACAGCACCCTGGTGTATCTCACAGCTCCAAATAAGAATTTATCTATGCTGAATTCTTGTCATTGCTTTTAGCTCAGGGAATGTCCCAGCCTTGGGTCATAGCATTTCTGGGTCAGTCACAAAGAAAATATGTTGCATAGGGAAACAGCATGTGCTGAAAATAGCTCACATGCCATTGACTTCATTAAGATCAGGGTTGTATTCCTTCTTCTCCCTTTTTTTCCTCTTTGTGACTGTCAGTGGAAGTAACACAAGCCAAACTAGCTGGAAATGTTGTGTTTTTATATAAAAGCAATTCAGATCCGTATTCAAACTGTGATTGATTTTGGAGGGATCTTGCACAACTTGCAATATTTTATTTTTTTTTTAATAGCTGGCAATATTCTCCATAATTATATATGGTTACAGTTTCATCTCTTGCTGCCATTTTTTTCCCCATTTAAATGAGATAGGTGTGTGCAGTTGTTGTGTGTCCATCCCCATTCTGTGTCCATCCCCCGTCCTCCCCAGTTACTATTTTTTAATGTTTTCAAAATTGCTGACGTTACATGTTGCTCCTCTGGATTTCCTGGTGATTCAGGGGTATGTCTTGCTGTGAAAGCTTTGCATTAGGAAAAAATTTCCAACATGCAATACTACTGTAATGTGGGAATTGTACAAATTGTTATGTTTCTTCTTCTTTCATAGAACTGGCCACCCAGCCCCCCATCACCACCCTCCAAGCTCTGTTTTTCATTTTCATGATGCTTAGCAGACCCAGGATCCACAAAGTAACTGATGTCCAAAGCTCTTAATGTGTTCAGCTGCAGAAACATTGAAAGAATTGTATAGTGAGAATGTACTGAGCTGTCAGCTCTTTCAAAATCAGCTTTTGTGTGCATCTCAGTTTAGGTGCCCCTAGAAATAAGATGCTGTGGAGGGGGGAAATCAAACACTTTATTTTGTGATTCCTCTGTCTTTTAGCACTAACGCTTGTTTCAGTCATTTGGGATCTATAATTTCTTCCTTGTGGAGAAAAGAGGGCTTTAGGGGTTCTAGAAAAATGAAAATAAATCTATTTGGTTTCTTGAAGTTCACACTCCATGTGAAGAAAACAATGGTGGTTGCTCCCATCTGTGTCTGCTGTCTCCAAGAGACCCCTTCTACAGCTGTGCCTGTCCCACTGGTGTGCAGCTAGAAGACGATGGCAGGACATGCAAATCAGGTAGGACCTTTTCTTTTCTACAGTGACAGTGTTGACTTGGTTTGGGTTTGACACTTAAAAGTTGAGTCTTGAAGAAGTGAATTGAGAGGAACTGCCTGACACACTGAAATGATACTTTTGTCCTGATGAAGACGGCAGAAATTTTGCAGCCAAATCTCCTGCCAGGCTACCAAAGACAATGATTTTTATGAACTAAAGTAATTCTTTGCATCAGAAATCAGAGAATTTTAACAGTATTTTGTGTATTTCGACTGTATTTTGTGTTGCCAGTTCTCTGTTGGAATGAAGTTGTATGTGGAGCCCATTGCAGAATAATCTTATTAGAAGTAAGCTATTGTAGGACATCGTTCCATTTGGACAATGAACCATGGACAGACTTCTGCTCCCTCCCATTCATTGTCCAGTGGCGGCTGAGTTGTTGCCTTCTAGTTGCATCTCAAAGTTAGCAATTGGACATGTTCTGCACACAAATGTGCCAAAAATATGTTCAAGGACACATCCATGTACCCATGTACTATTTTAGAGATAACCCAGTGAGTTGGCCCTGCTTCAGTTAGTTTTATAATGAGATAATATGTACAGAAAAATTCAAAATTAAATTTAAACTAGAAATATCCTTCCTTGAGAGAAGGATTTATAAGAAAATTATACTGGAAATTTTTTCTTCCTGGGTCTAGTTTGTGTTTTTTGGACATTAATTTAAAAAAGTGAGGCAAGGCTTTGTGTGAAGAGGCTTATAAAGTTTGTTGCTTGAGATAACTGAGCTAGAGAAAAATAATGTTCTAGGTGGCTGTTTCATGTCATTGATAAATAGGAGAGGCTTGTATATTACCAGTAGAATGTTGTTTAGAGAATAATAGCTTGAAAAGTATAACTGGATGCATATTTCATATCCATAAGTTGAATGAGTCTAGTGATATACTTTAAAAGCTTGGTTTTATTATTGATCAGAAAGCCTCTTTTAAAAATACATCTTTAAAAAGCAGGCAGTTAACACTGATACGGTGGTAGGACAAGAGGCAAGATTTTGGAGAATGTTCTGCCAACAGACTAAAGGACACTCTGGAGTCTGTCTCCGATGCATTTTCAACAAGTCTAGTCAAAGAGTATAGTCATTTTCTGATGTGGCTTGATTCCTCTGAGTACTAAAGCAAGTATAATAGATTCCTTTCATTTATGAACTTGAAGCAGAATTTGAACACTGAACCTCCAGGGTTTAAGGGCCAGCTTTATTAGCTCATCCTGCTGCAACTGAAAGTCTTATAAGGTAGTTCTTGCAGCTGCTGAAAGATGTTTCTCTTGCCTCCTTCCAGCTTTGGAAAGTTTCCCTTTCACAGCTTTTAAAAAAGCATTGCTGAATGAGCAGGACAACCTTTTCAGATGTTCATATTGACCTGATGTTTCTGGCAGTGGGAATGAAGGTCAGATTGCTTTTGGCATTTTGGCGGATAGCACAAGCAGGAGTGACTGCTTATACTGTGCTTTCACCTTACCATTGTCAGGCCAGACAATCTGTCAAAGGAGGGCAAAAAAGTGGGATGGGAACAGGAAATCTGGTTTTGCATAAGAGTATGGTATTTTGGTTCAGCTTTATGGATTATTTCTTTCCCAAGTTCCACATCTTTTGTTGTCCTGTCTGCCTTATGCCAACATCCCTGTGCTTCTCTTTCACTCTTATTAATAAACTCCTTGGTTGCAAGGAACTGACTTTTTGTTCTTCACGTGAGTCCTTTGTTGTAAAGTTGTATCAGGAGGTAGAGATGCAACAGTGTTGACCACCTCTCCATTTTTTTTCCTATTGGCTTTGGCAAAAGTGTGAAAAGTACAAAGTCACTTGGGCATATTGGCTTCTTTGACATTAGAGTTTTAAGTGAATTATGCAAATACTACTGGGGATTTGTCTGCAAGATGAAAAAGCATTCTGTTGATTGATTCTTCCTTTCTCTGATTCTAAACAGTTACTCTGAATACATTAAAAAAAATTAGCTCTACAGTAGATATCCATCACTAATAATGGATAGTAAATATATGGATGCATTGCAGCTGGCATCAAGTGTAAGTTCCTCTCTGGGAATTTGTACTTGTTTTGTGCTTTGTGTTTTGTCTGTTTTGTGTTGCTTCCCTCCATTTGTTTTGTGTGATATTAAGTCTGTTTTCTTCTGTTGGCTATGAAAATGCTCTGGACTTGTTTGAAGTTCCCATATCAACAAGCAGAGGGGTCGTAAGTTTGGAAAGTAAATCAGCTGCACCTGACTATGTATTCTTAGCAAAGTGAGCATTCAAGCTATGCTCTTTGGAATTAAGTTGTGTTGGACCACTACTGTCTTGGTGGATGTCCAAGTACACGATTTTAGATAGGTATCTGAACCCAATCTTGCCTGTGTAGAAGATAAACGAAGTCACAGTTTATAATGCCCATCGGAGCCCGATGGCTGTAGTCTGAAGTGCCTGTGGAGGGTGGCCTAGTCAGTAGTAATTCTTAGTACCTTATAACTTCCAGGGATAAGTGACCTCTAAAATTTCATGTTTCAAAATGGTGCTTCAGTTCTTAGACCAGATGGCTTCTTGATTTGTGGGTGGGTTTTTTTGTTTGTTTTCTTAATTTGCCTTTTTTTTTTTTTGGTTTGAAAGTCTTCTCTAAGCCTGTTTGAGCAATGGCATGAATGTTTGTGGAAAGAACAAAAGTTTGGTTGCAGTCATTAAAAAGGGATGTGTAGTTCTACTTAATTAGCTCATTATTCATGCAGTCATAAAATTGTAAGTCTGCTTTAGTTAATCTTCAGTTTGTTGCTTTAGATGCTTTCTGATGCAAATAATCAAAGTCTTAAGACCAAAGTAAAACTTACGTGTATTCTGTGCATATTTTCAGGGAAGCAAAG